ATGAGGAAGATGAAAATCTGTCCTTGCAATGAGCTCATGTTTTATTTACCACCCTGTCCTTGGAGAAAGTCTGGAAATGGATGGAAGTATTTCTAAGGGTGTCATGACAGTTGCCATTAGGTATCCAGAAAAACAAAGAATAATTATATGCCCTACATGTCTTCAAGTGTCCTGTTGGCAGTTGATGAATAATAAACTAGGTTAAAAGTATATATATATATATATATATATATATATATATATATATCACAGTGATATATATATATATCACTGTGATATTTAGCTTTAATTGTCTGATTGACATCACTCAGAATAACCTAGGAAAAGTGTCTCAGTGGAGGACCACCTAGGTCTGGCTGGACTGTGGACTGTGAGCATGACTATGAGGGACTTTTTTCTTTGTCTACTTGAGGTAGGAACACCTACTTTGAATATGGCTGTCACCATCCCCTAGGCAAGGGTTTCTGGACTATGTAAAAGTCTAGAAAAAGAACTGAGCATGAGCAAGCAAGCCAGTATGCATGCATTCATTTCTCTCTACTCCTGATTGTGGATGTGGCTAGCTGCTTTAAGTTTCCACCACTGCGAATTTCCTGCTATCATGCACTGCAACCTGGAAGTGTAAGCCAAGCAGACCATTTCTCTGTGTTGCTTTCATCCAGGCATTTTATTACAGGCACAGAAATAAAACGAAGGCCATCATCCAGACTATGCTGGAATTCCATTTTATTTATGCATAAAGTACTTGTTTTCATCATTGTTTTCCACAATGAGTTTGCCAGGAATTCAGTAACAAAGGACTTGGTAAGAAATGCAATGAAATTAAAATGGCTACCAAGATTGGCTCACCGTTTTAGAAATCCAAAGCACTGAGCTCCAGTGGCGCAATCGGTTAGCATGAGGTACTTATACAGAAATCCAACACACTAAAGCCATGCCTGATCAAGCTTCCAGGTCAACACTAAGACATACCTGCTCCTCTTCATTCCTAGCTGTGTGTCTGTGGTGACAATAACACATTAAAATGCCAACATATCATGACTTCATTATGTCTTCCACTAAAGCTAGTTTTATTATATAAATCACTTTCCTTGTATTACTATTTTACAGTATAGTTATGCCAGGATATTGATTTCATGAAAGCTTTATGTGCAGGCAAAATATATGTACACCAAATTTCATTTTGAGAGACATGGAGGTAGTTTCAAAGGATTCAGGGTTATAAGTGCATGTTAGAGAATGCCAAATATAGTTGAGAAAACCCTGCCCTATGGAGTAAAACACAAACATTTTTTTAGTAAATTTGGCAACTTTACTCCATCAGGGCAACAAAAGTGGCAACCAAAGATATAAAGTTTTTTTTTGTTTGTTTGTTTTCATGTACCTTAAGTACTCCCCCCATCTCCCACCCTCTGCAAAGTAGAAATTAATAATGTAGAAAATTCTCTTGGTTAATGCCATACTAAGGAAAATAGTGTTTCTCACAGAACGTCTTTATGCAGAGGAAGCATGTGGGCTGGGAGCTGTTGAAAGCAAAACCCAGAAGGCATGTTCCTGAACGTCTAGACAAGCTAGGATAGCAGACTGTGGGCTTAGTATCCCTTTGAAAAACATGGCCATAGTGTCTACAACTTTCTGAATTAAACGTTTGGCGCTCCTTCCATGAATGGTATTCAGCAACTGTGTTTTTTAACCTATATAAAGTTGAAAACTAAATTGACATTAGTAACTGTGCTGAAGATTGCTAGGTGACCCAGGCCAAGAAGGTTGCTATGGACACAGGGCAGGGCTGCCTGCATGGAGTTGGATGCATGTCAGTGTTGGATGCTTCTAGAAGCCTTCAGAACATCCACAGTGTCAAAAAATAAAAATAAAATTTTAGGAGGCTAGGGGCAAGTCACTGAGGGAAGGGGAGGAAAGGCAAAAATGAATATAAGCAGGAGTCAGAAACTCCAGGAGTGTTATGCTAAAGGAAGACTGGGAACAGCAGGCAGTTTTCCTGAGCAGCTGCCTCTCTCCTTTTTCCTTCCACCCCCATCTGTTATGAAAGGATGAATTCAGAGCTTGGCTTTGGGTGTCAGGGTGGGTTCTGACACTGCATGATGGATGATGGGAAGTTTTAACCACAGTTAAAGCCTAGGACTTAAGCCAGGCATGCTGATGTTCCCTGTTCTCTTAACACATGGTAACCAAGAAGGAAGTGACTTGGTTTGATGAATGCTCTCTCCTTGCAGGACAACTCTGTGCTTGACTGTGCTAGCGGGCATTCTAGGAATACCCATGACCACAGACCTATCCTGAGGACTGCCCTCCTCTCCTTTTACTTTCTGACTACTAGTGTATGTCTCCTGTTCTCAGGGAAGAATATGGAACATACTTTGTTACAAGGTTTTCCATCTCTCAATAAGATGTCTCGATTTCACCTCCAGCAACAGCATACCCAATTGCTCTCTCAAGGTGCAGTAAAGAGGCCATCCCTTCCTCGTCTTGGTACAGCAGTACTTCTTGTACACAGATGGTTCCAGGTTACCCTCTAGCTATCTGTTATCACCTAGGTAGTGTTGAGAAGTAGAGATGTCAGAGTGTTGTCTTAAGGTATGCACGCCCCAGGTTATAGAACACAGGAACTCCAGAGGGAAGAATGCAGTCACTGCTGTTGCTCAGGCAAGTGGTATGTGGGCATGTGAACTGGGTTTAGCGGAGAACCATTGTACTCCAACTTCCCTTATGAGCTCATGGAAGGCCGTTTTTATTTTTTTTTTTAATTCCCCAATAATCTGGGGATCCCTCTTTTGTTACTGTTATTACATGTTCCATACTTGGCCCACATCTGCCTCTTCCAATATGCTGTTAGGTCCAGAGGACAGCAGTGATATCTACCTGCCTATTCACTTCGTTCCCAGTACCTAGTGAATGTTTCATACAAAGAACCAAGTATCGGTGGTGCTTCTTGTTACTACAGCTAAGCCTCTCTTTTTACCAAGGGGAATTCAGCCTCTTTACACACAAGTATGATATTCCATTTCCCACCATCCATAAAATAAAATCAATCTCAGAATGTAAAGAAAGAGTGAGATCTTTTCTATTCATAATTTATATATTCATGGCACATTCCAGGCTTTCTTTTCTGATAAAATTGTATTATCTAAAGTTAGTGTTATCAATGTACAGATGTCCTTATATAGACCACCTCTAAAATAATTATTGTTTTACTATTTATGAAGAATTATTGGAAGAAATAATTCAGTGATGGATCTCTGAACAGAACTTTGAAGGGAACCAAAGTGAAACATACATAACATCCGTATATAAAGTTTAAATACAAGCAGAACCAATTTCTGCTGTTGACTAGTCTGGATATGAACATTGCAATAAAGGAGGGATACAAGGACTTATTGTAGGGTGCTAATAATGTATTTGTAGATCTTTCTGCCAATTCACAAGGGCTCGATTCAAGAACTGTCGTTAGGCACTACCACCTGTACAAGCCCTTGGGTGTCCATTCCTCTTTGGGTACTTCCGTTTCTTTGGTGTGTTTTTTACTGCAGGCACAGACTGGCCCAAGAGTGGGATGGAGGTCAGAGAACATCTTTCAGGAGTCAGTTCTCTCCTCCCACACAGGATCCAAAGATTGATGGAACTCATGTTGTTAGGTTGACATTTACCCACTGAGCCATCTCACTGTCCCCCAAAAGTTTCACTTCTTAGAAAGTTCTTCTAAGTGTAACTAAAGAGATGACTCAGCAGTTAAGAGGACTGGCTGTTCCTCTGGAAGACCTGTGTTTTATTCCAGAACCTACATGGCAGCTCACAAATGTCTATAACTCCAGTTCTAGAGTATTTGATGCCCTCTTCTGGCCTCAATCAGTCCTGCACACAAGTGGTGAGCAGATATGAATATAAGCAAAATACGCATATACCTAAAAAATATACTTTTAAAATTGTCCATTTATCTGTACTAGTGGATATATGCATTACATATACATACATATCTGCATATGTACACATATAGTTAACATACTTGTGTGTAGTCTCCTGACCACTCTTCCAGAGTGACTTTGCTATTCCATAGGCATGCCTTTGAGTCCTTGGAGCTAAGGGGAAGGTCACACAGCTTTCCATTCTCACTGTGTGAATTAGAGGTTGAAATACAAACATGAACTCTAGTGCATCCCAGACACAAGCATTCACAGAGAAACTTCTCTGTCTGATTTGTAACTGCATGTGTTTCACACTCTGGTGATGGAAAGGAAAGAGGTTTGGCACAGAAAAACTTTTACGTAAATGCTAATAGCAATTTTCCAAAAGCTTAAGCTGAAAACTTTTTTTAAGTAAAAAAAAAAAAAAAAAAAAAAAAAAAAAAAGGAAGGAAGGACATATACTATTTCCAAGAGATTCCTTTATTTTCCAAGCAGCATTTTAAAAAAGGTTTGAGCCCTACTTAGTGTTGAACTTGACCTGATTAAATATGTTCTTGGACACAATTATCATTAGTCTATTAATATTTTTCATACTATGTTGACATTGAGAACTAGACTAATAAAACTTTATTAAAATATTAATTTGTACAGTTAAATAGAAAAATAGTTTCTCTAATGCCTCACACACATATGTAAGTCTGACATACCCCCCCCCCCACCCAAACAGTTCTACACAAGTTTCAAAGCCTACCCTCTCTTCCTAGCATATACTTTATCTGCAGTAATGAAAAACTCAGGTCAAGGAAAGGCACAGTGCACCACATAAGCAAGTAAATAAATAAGGTAAATAAAATGGGTAAAGCCAAACAAAAAGTCCAAGTCTCCTCTCGCTGGGTCTCTCTCCCCTCTGCATAAACTCAGCAGAACCTTTTCATGGAAAAGCCACTCACCCCCTAGAGCAGTAATGTGTAGCTAGAAAAAAGGCTTCCCAGGGTTTGGAGAAAGCCCGGCTTGGTTCCCATCAGCCCGGAGGGGAGGTTCTGAACCCAGGTGGCCAGCAGCCTCCAGCCCATGACTTACCACCAGGAGTACGCAGCACAGCCACTTGTTCATTGTGGTACTCGGGAAACCTCAGGCTGCAGCCGCTGGGTCAGTGCTAGGTGCGTCTGTGCAGTGGAGGCGATCATGACGTTCTATATAAGGTCTGAGTAACAGGAAGTGTGCACTGCCTTTGATCAAGTCTCTGGACCAACCTTGTACCTTTCCTTTTTAGGAACCCTGGGCGCTAGGGGTAGGGGTACCAGACGCTCCAGGGTTAACGCTTTAGGTGCCGGAGTGGGAGGATCTTGTGCGAAGGCGTGGGGCCAAAGGGAGAGGGTGACTGGTTTCTGTAGGAGGAAAAGAAGAAAAAGAAGCTGTGGATCAGGCAGAGTTGTCCCCGCTGCTTCTAAGGTTTCCTAGGCTCTTCCCCCCCAGCGGCCAGCCTCGGGGCTGCTGAGTCCTGCAGTGAGAGGCTGGCCACACGCAGGGGAGCGTCCAGGCATCCTCAGACAGCTGGCTCCTCCACCCCAGGTTTTAACTGCAACAGATGCTTGCCGAGTGTCTCGGGGAACTGTTCCCTTTCTGGGAGAAGTCTGGAGTTTTCCTTTGGCCTATTGTTTTAACCCTTTCCCAGAGATTCAGGAACCCCCAAACAGCCCCTCTCTTACAGGCATGGCATTGACCTCAGGACTGTTGGGAGAGTTTGTGCAAAGTGTCCTAGACCCTCAGAAGATTTTTTGTTTGTTTGTTTTTAAACTAATATTTACCAGAGGTTATCAAGAGCTAGGAAGAACCAGAAGAATAAACTGGTGGAGAAGAAAAGTCTCACAAGCAACTCTACCCTTCCAAGCATCCTCTGCCCTAAAAGGTTTGTTGGCACCTGAGAGTCCTAACCACTGGGCTTCTAGTCCAGTGCCAATGATTAAGTTGCCTCTTCAATGCCCTCTACCGTTGACACAGTTAAAGATTTGCAGATTTGCATACAAGGTTCTTGTCCCGCCCATCTGTCCTCCCATAGACTGTTTGGAAGTCAGATAAAATTGTTTCCGAATTGAACTCTCATTGCAAGGTGCCATGGGCAGCTCCCAAGTCAACTGTAGGTGGACACACAATGTTGGTTACAGCACAGCTGACAAAATCCCTGAAGAACTGGCTTCCTTATCAGGGGCAGAGCGAGAAAGATATCTCCTAAGTGGGGCAAAGTCTTCTGTCAACAAGAATCAGGGTGCCCACCTCTTCACAGCAGGATGGATCTGGTCTTACCATGAGTTCAAAGCAGATCCACAGACCAAACAAGTAATTCTTGGCAGAAACATACAAGTTGCTGCTTTCTTAAGTGAAGTATTTCACTCCATTAACACACCATGGAAGAAGACAAAGTTGTGTGATTCTACACCAGCCCCTTTTGCTTTAGTTTATATTTCTGAAACGGGGAGATACCAACACTTAACACTTAATTGTAAGATCAGTGTAAACTCAAATGTTAACTTTCAAGCCCGTGTTAATGGCAGAACTATTATTTCTGTCTGGGGTATTAGCTGAAAGCATTTTTTCTCAAAACTGGTGAAGAAAAATGGAGTCACAATGTAGGAGTGACACAGCCTAGAATAGCTTGGAAAGAGAGGTTCAGCAAGGGACTGATTATCTACATTACATTGGCTTCTGGGTCTGTTCGGCACTGTCTTAATAAATGGATGTAGGAAGAGCCAACCCATTGTGGGCAGAACCATTCCCTAGTTAGGGTGCCCTGAACTGTATAAAAGTGGAGAAACAAAGATGAGTACAAGAACACAAGTGTGAATGTCTTTTCTCTCAGCTCTTGACTATGGATGTCACTAGTTTGTGTCAGGGGCCATGAGATTTAGAGCAGGTATTAACTAGTGTTAACTCTGTTATCTCTTAACAACCTGCCTTGTTCTCTTATTCAGACTACTGCACACAATTAGCTAACTTTCACATCAGAGAAAGTTCAAACTAGACTAAAGGCTTTTTTAAAAAGAAAATGTCACAGCTTGCACAAGGTCAGAGTCACAGATGTCTACCAAGGTTACTAAGAAAAGCATGCTAATTCTTCGTTTGTCAGTCTAATAACAATAAATCTGTGTCTCAAAGTTGTCAATGGGCATGACCCTCAGATTGTGTGGGAAGTTACTAGATAAATCTTTACCCCTCCTTCTGTCCTGAGAAGCATCTCACCTTTGGGACCCTGGGTAGCGACTGCCGGTCTCTTAGCTCTTACAAATTTGAAGTTTCTGCTCTGACTCTTCCACAATGAGATATTATAAGCTAGAATTTCAAAATGAATTAAACTCCCTTATCCCCCCCTTACTCTCTTAAAAAGGATTACATTCTGAAATGTCAATTATAAAAAGATTCCTGTCTTTCTAAGGCTGTTTCTACTTTCACAACAACATCGACAATAAAACCCCTGGTAGTGTAGAAGATAGCAACTAGAAGCATTTAAATAATATTAAATATGTGCCCATGTTCACTTAGTTTTAATCACTAACTGAAAGAATGAATGCAAGCAAATTAGTGCACACAGGAAATAATTACAAAAGTCAGGGTTTGTGGTGTGTGTGTGTGTGTGTGTGAGTGTGTGTGTGTGTGTGAGTGTGTGTGTGTGTGAGTGTGTGTGTGTGATGACTAGAGAATATTTCTTGATATATGGTCTATGTAGCCCTGCCTGTCCTGGAATTCACTCAGTAGACCAGAGTGACCTTGGATTCACAGAGATATGCCTCAGCTTCTGTCTGCCAAGTCCTGGGATTAAAGGCATTTGGTGTCATGCCCTCTCTGTACCTCATTTCCCCAGCACTGGGTGGTGAAGACAAAAGGATCCCTCAGGCTAACCAACATCAAAACTAGCTGAATGTGAGTTTGCAGTACCATGAAAGTCTCCACCACAGCAGTGTTAGGGTCCCGGGCACATACCCCCATGTCTGTATTTTTAACTTGGGTCCTCATGCTTGTATTGCCAGTACTTTACTGACTGAGCTATCTCCCCAACTTATGAATCCTGGATCATCATCACTACCATCATCATCTACGTAGTATGGTCCAGCTGGCATGGAAGTCATAACAACCCCCACCTGTAAGGAGTAAGGTTTTTCCTCCTGCCACTGGTCTTGTTCCGCCGCTGCGCCAGCCAGCCCCAATTAACACACAGAGACTCTGTATTTGATATAATGCTATTGGCTCGTTACTTGTTTCTTATCAGCTAGCTCTGCCTTAATTATTAACCCATTTCTATTAATCTCCACGTGGTCTTATCTTACCGGAGAGGGGGGACCAGCGGTTCTGTTCTCTCCCGTCTCTCCATGTTGACTCCTCCTTACTCCTTCCTCTCTCCTCATCTCCTAGTCCCTCCTATCTGTCTTTCCTATTGGCCAACAGTGCTTTATTCATTAACCAGTATGAGAAACATTTATACAGAATGACATCTCCCAACACCCACCCACACACCTCAACCTCCTGAGGGCTAGGACTATGGATTTCACCTCTATGCCTGGCTTCAACTTGAGTTGTGATTGCTCTATGGAAAAGAGATATGGAACCTTTAGTCCAGATCTATAGGTTTAAGCCTTAGTTCCAGATTTTCCTACTTCGGTAATCTCAGACAAATGACCTAAGTGATTTGTGTTTCTTTATCAGTATAGAGTAATAATCAATCTACAAAATGGAACTACTTAGTGACTTGGGGATGGGTAAGGCACAAAAAGCACTCGAGTACCACATGGAGTTTTATTAAGCTTTATATATCTACTCACATGTATGTATGTTTTACCTATTTATTTTTAGACAGTCCACTGTAGTTCAGATTGTCCTCAACTTCCTACATAGGTATGACTAGCCTTGAACTCCAGATTCTAATGCCTTTACATTTTTAGTAATGGAATGGCAGGTTTGTGCCACTACTTTGGTTTGCATTTAAGTTTCAGGTGTTACTAATCACTATCATTTGAGGTCCATGTATAGGAGTGGAAGGTGAATTTATACTCCTGAGGGCAGGAACCACACATGTTCCTGTGTTCCATGAAGTTTACAGCTCAGTCTCTGGTCCCTTGTAACTATTCAGTGAAAGAGGCATGATAGTGATGGTTTTGGGAATAAGTAATTAGCCAAAATGGTGATGCTAATTTGGTTATCACTTGTCACTGGACACAAATTTGAGCATCATTTATCTTGAATTACAAAATAGACTAGATATTGACTATGTATCTCAGACTTTGACTGTGGGCTGTTCATTAATCATTTTCTGGCAGGAAATGGACATAGACTGTGAGTTATTGGTCATTTCATTTGTTATGTTCCTAGACCAATCTGACTGACCCCCTGGGATATTCCCAAGTGATCTTCCAGTACGGATAGAAGGCCCTGAACACTTGAAAGTACAGTTCATCTCAAGAATTAATTGGAACAGACCTGGAGGTATGTACTAATCCCAAGGGAACACATTTGAACAGTAACCTGGAAGACTACATTCATCTTCCTGTGACAAGAGAGGCCCCTCACACAGGCAGTGGCCATTTTTGGTATAGTAATCAGAGCCCTGTATATTTAACCTCTGTTTCTGAGCACCAGGTATGCATGATACTATCATTCCAGGAAAGACCTCATACATAGAATAAGTTCTCTTTCCTGAGATGTTTAAATCAAGTTCTATATTAAAACATTTTCACTGCCCACATTGCTGATTATTCCCAGTAGCATGGTCCATCCCTCCACCCTCCATACCAGTCACTTCTAACACTTCGAAAAATGGTACCTGACTGGGTGCCTCCCATGGGGAAGCAATTCATCTTTTTAAGCACAGCAGCTCAGCACCTGATACAGAAGGTCATTTGTAACCATCACCATAATCGGAATAGCTGAAACCCAGACATCGATTGATTTAGATGATCTGAGAGAGAAGTCATGCTCTGGGGTAACAAGGACTCTGAGGTGACCGATCAGTTGTCATTGTATACTTAAGTTTCCTCCACTGAGAATCAAAAATACTCATTTTGAATGTATGTATATAAAAGGACATTAACTTGAAGAATAATGATATAATTATTGTTATTTCCCTGTTACCAAGAAAAACCTTCATTCTGAAGTTAGAGGGACAGAAAGAAAATCATAGTACTGACAGTTTACTGATCTGATCTTCTCATTTATGGTTGCTAGTGTCATTAACACAATTTTAAACTTAAATTTTCTG